CTCCATACCTTTTTAATCTACGAGGAACAGATACTGTGAGAGGATGAACTTTATGAAGAATCTGGCACTAAGATTGGAGGAAGACTCATCAACAACCTGGGCTATGCAGATAACACAGTTCTCATTGGTAAAACTGAGGACCTGAAGCATTTGCTGCAGGAGGTCAAGGATGACAATCTTCCATATGGACTGCATCTCAACATCAAGAGAAAAAAAGATTCTTACCAGTTGGCCAACTGGCAGCATCGTGATGGACACTGTGACCACAACAGTGGACCAAAGTGTATCAGAGGTCATGAGGATGGCCCAGGCCAGGCCCGGGCCCAGAGCTGCTGAACAGAGTTGCTACTGCTCATAGTCAACTCGACGGCACCAAACAACAGATCTGTGTGGCAAATCCTAATGTCTGCGCCTCTGGTTAGAAACCCACCTAGGTATGAATGGCTGGTCTTGGCTAAGGCAGCAGAGTGAGTGAGTGCAGGGTGTATCTTGATTCAGTCAACAGAGCAGAAATGGAGGAAGACTCACGCCAAGCATGAGTGCAGGAGTGGCATCCACTTCCTAAACAACACACCTCTAGAAACTGTATGACCTTTGATAAATGATGACAGTTATTAACAACAATATGCCAAGCTATGTGGAATCTCCAAGGGAACTAGGATAAAAGGTAAAGATGGGAGAGGAAGCCTTCCTCTAAGAGCCACTGTCCTGGATTTTTACTCCCAGCTCCTGAACTACAGGATAACACATTTCTGTTGTTTAAGTCATTCACTTGTGGTGTGTCTGGTCTGGCCGTACCGGAGCTGCCAACAGTCAACAGTTGGTGGGCTCCCTTTTAAAACCTGAATCAGAGAGGGTAAGCAACGTTCTGAAGGCAACACAGCAGAAAGGGTCTGTCCAACTTCTGTAATCGGTCTTTCTCCTCCCTCCGCTCTGCCTTTCAGAAAGGAGTACGCTTCTTTTCTGAGAAAACACCAAATGGCGGATGACGCCGGTGCAGCGGGAGGGCCTGGAGGCCCTGGGATGGGAGCCCGCGGCAGTTTCTGCAGAGGCTTCGGTATCGGTCTGCGGGGTCGGGGCCACGGAGCTCGAGGAGGCAAAGCCGAGGACAAGGAGTGGCTCCCCGTCACCAAACTGGGCTGCCTGGTGAAAGATATGAAGATTAAATCATTGGAGGAGATTTATCTCTTCTCCCTGCCCATCAAGGAATCTGAGATCATCGACTTCTTCCTGGGCATGTCCCTCAAGGATGAGGTGTTGAAAATCATGCCAGTGCAGAAGCAGACACGTGCTGGCCAGCGGACCAGATTCAAGGCCTTTGTTGCCATCGGAGACTATAATGACCATGTTGGCTTGGGCGTCAAGTGCTCCAAGGAGGTGGCTACTGCTATCCGTGGAGCCATCATCCTAGCCAAGCTCTCCATTGTCCCTGTGCAGCGTGGCTACTGGGGGAACAAGACTGGCAAGCCTCACACCGTTCCCTGCAAGGTGACTGGGTGCTGTGGCTCTGTGTTGGTGCGTCTGATCCCTGCACCCCGAGGCACTGGAACCGTCTCGGCCCCTGTGCCTAAGAAGCTGTTGATGATGGCTGGAATTGATGACTGTTACACCTCAGCCAGGGGCTGCACAGCTACCCTGGGCAACTTTGCTAAGGCCACCTTTGATGCCATCTCAAAGACCTACAGCTATCTGACCCCAGATCTCTGGAAAGAGACGGTGTTCACCAAGTCTCCCTACCAGGAATTCACAGATCATCTTGTGAAGACTCACACCAGAGTCTCCGTGCAGAGGACTCAGGCTCCAGCTGTGGCCACCACCTAGTGGGTTTTCTATAACAAATAAAGTGAATTATGTTCTAGCAAAAAAAAAAAGAAAGAAAAAAAAGAAAGGAGTACGCAGGACTGTGGACAGCAAAGTGGCCAAGACCAGGGCCCCACCTGGTGAGGACGTGAGTAGAGAGAAAGCCATATCCTAAGGCCAGGAAACTGGGGGGCAGGTCACCAAGCACCCCTAGAGTCAGATGGTCAAGTGTAGGACAGTCCCCAGCTCCTCCAGCTGGCCGCTACCTGCCGCCTCACTGTGGAAATGCTACCTACGGACCATTTCACTCAACACCGGCAGACCCCCGGCCTTCAGAACAGTGCTGCACGTGAAGGGTTGACACAGGCCCCTCCTCTTCCTTGTGGGGATTTCGCCTGCAGGTAACGTCCTCCCTATTTCCCTGGTCACCCGGAAACAGTGAGCTGACACCTGGGTCCCCAGCTGTGGTGAAAACCGACCTCTGGGCTGGGCAGCTGGGCCTGCCTGGTGGGAAGAGGAGGTCCTGGCCTCCCGTGGGAACCCCAAATCTAAGCTCCACGGATTTTTCCCTCCTCTTCCCACTTTTTTACCTCACTTATGGTGGAAGATCTATTAGCAATCTGTGATATGCAGATGACACAACCCTGCTTGCTGAAACTGAGGAGGACCTCATGCACTTGCTGCAGAGGGTCAAGGACTGCAGCCTTCAGTATGGACTGAGGCTCAATGTCAAGAAGACAAAGATTCTCACCACTGGACCAATCGGTAGCATCAGGATGGATGGCGAAGAGACTGAGATTGTTCACAGCTTCAGTTTGCTCGGCTCCACAGTCAACACACTTGGCACCAGAAGTCAGGAAATCAAAAAGTGTATTGCGATGGGAAAGTCTGCTGTTAGGGACCTCTCTAAAGTACTCAAGAGCAATGGTGTCTCTCTGGAGACTAAGGTGGGCCTGATACAGGCCATGGTCTTTGCAATCACTTGTTATGCATCAAAGAGTTGGACAATGACTAGGGAGGACAGAAGAATTGATGCCTTTGAGCTGTGATACTGGAGAAGAGTTTTGAACGTACCCTGGACTACCAAGAAAACAGATTCATCCTAGAGAGGATTAAACCAAGCAACTCCTTGGAGGCAAGGATTCTGGGGCTTCGTCTGACATATTTTGGGCATGTTGCAAGGAGGGACTGGCCCTTGGAGAGGGACATCATGCTTGCTAGGGTGGAAGGACAGCGCAGGAGAGGAGGACCCTCTATGAGGTGGATTGATTCGGTGACTAGGATAATTAGGATGGGTGTGTCAGAGGCAGTGCGATTGGCACAGGATAGAGCAGGGTTTAGGGCTGTTGTGCATAGGGTCGCTATGAGTCGCAAATGACTTGACGGCACACAACGACAACATGCTCTTTGCTGTTTTCTTGAATTTAGGGGGGTTTTCTTAGGGAGCCCTGGTGGTTTCACTTTGTGGCTGTGTCCTGTAGAGTTGGAACCAACCCACAGCTGTTCCTCCAGTGAATCTACACAGGAGGAGACTGTCCACCTTTCTCCCACACAGCGGCTGGTGGATTTGAACCCCACGCCTTTGGGATTGCAGCACAGCTTCTTACCACTAGGCCACCAGAGCTCCCTGTGAGTGGTAAGGAATTGGGCTGCAGATCCAAAAGTACACGGTTTGAATCCATCAGCTGCTCTATGGGAGTAAGACGGACAGTCCCCTCACATGGATTTCCTACTTCTGACCCCTCGAGGGTCAGCTGTGGGTGGGCTCAGACTTGACGATACACAACAGTGGGTTTGAATCACTATCATTTTCTAGCCTCTTGAAGTTACTCACACTAGCTGTTCTTCTCATTTAAGCGTTTAAAGCTACAAAACTCATTCTCAGCAGTGCTCTACTTCCATCTTAAAAATGTGCTGTATTTTCAACCATTTAAAGATCTCAAATTATTGTGATTTCCCCCCCCCCATGATTCAAAGGGTACTTACGGTTTTGTTTTTTTTTTAAATCAAGTTCAGAATATTTGGATTGTTTTAAGCCTATTTTTATATGACTGACCTTTCATTTAATTCCACTGTGGGAACCGCATACCAGTGCTAGGTTTAGAACCAACAGGACAGGGGAGGCAGAACCAGAGACGACATGCGTGGAATAAGCTACTCGCCCCTGGAAACAACATAATTAGTGTCTGGGGCGTATGAATGATGTCAGAGAACGGGGACCAGAATGACAACCACCCGCTAACCTCTGAACTCCCCGTGACGTCATCTCCTTGGCCCAGACTCCAGCCCCAAGGCACACCCAGAGGAGGAGGCCCTAAATACGACCTCATCTCACTGGTATGTGGCCTCCTGCATTGCTTCTTTTCCACGGAGGAAAGCCTGACTCGTCCTTCGGGACGTAACTTTCGAATAAACCTATCTTTCCTTTTTACCTTCACTTCTGTACCTGCACCCTTCTTCCTGGCCTGGTGGCCCCAAAGGGCCTCGGCCTACGCCAACACTGCTCTAAGCAAGACCAGCACGGGCTCCTGGAAGGGGCCCAGTGCTGTACACTGAAGGCTGATCTCCCTGAACTTGCTGCACCCCGTGCTACCTTGGCACCACCCCTTCCCCTAGTCTCTCCCACCTGGCTCACTTCTTTAGCCTGGAGGAGAAGACTGACCAGGGCACTGGCTGCATGGGAACACAACAGCTCTGATGACTCAGCCCAAGGGGCGCTGCACTGCTAACCCAAATGCAGCCCCTCTCCAGTGGCTCCAAGCCATGCGGAGCTCCATGGAGAAGGATGGGCAATCTCTTCCCATGCACTCACGGCCTCTGAAAGCCACTGGAGGGTCAGCTATGGATCAATTATGACACTAAGGCAACAGAGTTCAGAATCGCAGCAAAGGCAACTGCTGTGTCTGAATGATGGTACTGGTGGACTCCTCCTCCCCTTGTGACTGGGAAAGAGCCTCAGCACACATGGACGCAAGTGTGGGGCGTGACCCTCGAGACTGGCCCAGGGGTCAAAGCCAATGTCACTGCTGCTCAGAAACTCAGGAAGAAAATTCTTCTGAAAAAGGCAGGAGGCAACAGAAGGCAACAACACTAGTGCCCTTTGTGACTTGTTAACTGGTAACAAAGCATTCTCCCTGAAAGGATTCAATGGCTGCGTGCACGTGGTCAGGAAGGATGTCCTCTGCTGACACCATTAGCGGTCAGTGTGCCAGACTGCGGTGGTCTGGGTGTTTCTGGGATGCTGGAAGAACAATGTGGGGTCAGGAGGAAGAAGACTCATCAACAAGCTGACAAATGCAGATGATACAACCTTGTTGGTCAAATGAAAGAATCTGAAAGATGGTTTTCTACGAAGATGGTGCTGAAAGTGAAGAAGGAAGCCCCTGCCTCTCCGAAAACTGAAGCCAAAGCAAAGGCATTAAAGCCCAAGAAGGAGCCCTGAAGGGCAACCATGGCCAAAAAACAGAAGATCTGCACGTAACCCATCTTCTGGGGGCCTAAGACGCTGAGACTCCGAAGGCAGCCCAAATACCCCCCGAAGAGCGTCCCCAGGAGAAACACACTTGACCACTATGCCATCATCAAGTTTCCCTCAGCCATGAAGAAGATAGAAGATAACACACTTGTGTTCATTGTGGATGTCAAGGCCAACAAGCACCAAATTAAACAAGCTGTAAAGAAGCTCTATGACGCTGATGTGGCCAAGCTCAACAGGCCTATGTTCAACTTGCTCTGACTATGACGTTTTCGATGTTGCCAACAAAATTGGGATCATCTAAACTGAGTCCAGCTGGCTAATTCTAAATACAAATTTTTCTCACACACACACAAAAACCCCATAAAAGATGGCAGCCTTCAATATGGATTATACGTCATCAAGAAAACAAAAATACTCATCACTATACCAGTAGGCAACATAGTAACAGATGGAAAGAAAAACTTAAGTTGTGAATGACTTTATTTTCTTACATCCACAATCAGGACCCATGGAAACAGCAGTGAGGAAATCAAATGACGTGTTCTATTTGGCAAACATGCAGTCAAAGACCTCTTCAGAGTGCTAAAGAGTAAGGCCATCATTCTGAAGACTAAGGTGTGCCTGACTCAGGCCATGGTATTCCCAATTACCTCAGATTCATGTGATACTTAAGACAATGAATGAAGAAGCCCAAAGAAGAACTGTGTTGGCAAAGAATAGGAAGCATGCCATGGACTGCCCAAAGAGCAAACTAGTCTGTTTTGAAGGAAATGCAGCTAGAATGTACCTTAGGGACAAGATTTAGGGTGTGATTTCATCTTGTATACTTTGGGAATGCTGTCAAGAGAGGCCTTGGAAAAGAAGTGGGTACGTGAAAGAGAGGCCCTCCACGAGAGCAACTGACAATGCTACAGCAATGGATTTAAGCACTGCAGAGCTGTGAAGACAATGCAGCACTGGGCAGGGCCTGGTTCTGTGGTTCTTGAGGTCACTAGGAATTGGAGGCCATGGGACGGTACCCAGCAGTAAGAACAACATCCTGATTTGGTTGAAGGACACCACACATTTGGGAATGTCTTGGTAACTGATTACAAATTCCTTTTGTGGGAATACACTTAAAAAGATGCATTAATTTGTGGTGGAAGTTACAGGATTGTTTACTTACCCATCCGCCCGTCTTGTGGTGGACTGATCAAAGACATTCTCGTTGGGCCCACAGCTACCTCAGGCTGTGTTTGTGAAAAGAAAACAATTGACAGCATTCCAAAGTGGCCATTTATGAGATTAAGACTCTCATTCCTTATTAAGACCTTGCTTCCTTGAGCTGGTTCTCCGTCTATTACCATTGGACAAATTCTTCCCGGACTTAAGTATGTGCCTATTTTCTGCCTGTCCTGTTAGAAAAAAGGCTCTTGAGGTGACTACTGTTTCCCCTGGCCCCAAAACAATGAGAGAAGGAAAGACATGACCAGTGTTCTGAAGATCTGGGAATAAGAAAGAAATATATCAGCGTCTTCAGTATCCTCTCCAAAGTACTGAAGAGCAACGGTGTCTCTCTGGAGACTAAGGTGCATCTGATACAGGCCATGGTCTTTGCAATCACTTGTTATGCATCAGAGAGTTGGACAATGACAAGGGAGGATAGAAGGAGAATTGATGACTTTGAGTTGTGGTACTGGAGAAGAGTATTGAGGGTACCATGGACTGCCAAGAAAACAAACAGATTTGTCCTGGAAAGGATTAAACCGGGTGGCTCCTTGGAGGCAAGGATTCTGAGGCTCCGTCTAACATACTTTGGACATGTTGTGAGGAGAGACCGGTCCTTGGAGAGGGACATCATGCTTGGGAGGGTGGAGGGACAGCGCAGGAGGGGAAGGCCCTCTATGAGGTGGATTGATTCGGTGACTGGGGTAATCGGGATGGGTGTGTCAGAGACAGTGCAATTGGCACAGGATAGAGCAGGGTTTAGGGCTGTTGTACATAGGGTCGCTATGAGTCGCAAGCGACTGAACGGCACATAACAACAACAACTTTAGTATCCTGTGTTCTTCCAAGTATCTGGCTTCTAAGGAGAATCAGGAAGCTGCCTTGCTCTTAGGCACCGTCTAACTGGTTCTGACTCACAGCTTCAATACGCACAACCGAACAGACCGGCCAGTTGTCTGCGAGCCTCACCATCATGGTCATGTTTGAACCCACTGTTGCCACCACGACCTCAGTCCATCTTGCTGAGAATCATCCTCTTTTTTCTAGCTGACCCTTTGCTCCACCTAACTCAGCAATCTTAATCAGGAACGGATCCCTCCTGGTAACACAGCCAAGGTCTAGGAGATGAAGTGTTGCCATCCTTCTTTCTTTCTATTTTGGCTTTGGAAACAAATTTATTCTTACAATGTAGGAGGCTGTAAGTTCAAGTTCAGGATAACAGGTCTAGCAGAAGGTTCTCTCTCACTTGACAGTTGCAGCAAGTTCTCATTTCCTTTAGTGTCTGTGAACCTGACATTCCTTAGAGACCTCCTTGTGTTCCGGCCTTCATCAGCATCAAGGAACATTGCACACCATGCTTATTTCTAGAAGCCTTCTGGTTATACTCTTCTAAAACACGTGCTGGCTCTTCCGGCTATCCATGGTATACTCGATAGTCTTCACCGACACCATCACTCACAAGCAGTAATTATTTTCTACCTTCTTTCACAGACCAGCCTTTGAGGCAAGTGGAAAGAACACAGCTTGGGTCAGATGCACTCTAGCTGTCAAAAGCTTTTTAAGGTTTTAAAGAGTTGGTGCTCCCCCACAATCGATACACAGATGTGTCCAATGCAGTATGTTGTTTGCTCCCCTGATTTCCAAGCATACAGATTCGGGACTCAAGTCAAATGAAACTGCGGACACCTTCAGCCTTCATCATGATGTTGCCGGTGGGTCCCGTTGTGGAGTTTTCTTGATGTGGACGTGTAATTCACACGGAGGGCTGTACTCATTGATCTTCATCAGTGTGCCAAGTCCTTTTCACTTTCAATAGAATTCCACCTCCTGCAGGTTGCATACAGCCACGTCAAGGTGCTGGATGCTAAAGAGTCTTTCACATCCTGCACCAGCCCACGGTGCCAGTGCATGCATGCATCCATCCGTCCATCCATCTCACTGAGGGCCATCGTATACCTTTCCCAGCTTGAGAAGAGACAGAGAGAATGTGCAGACTGGCCAGGGCAAGATTTAGATCTGTGGTTTACATGGTTGCTGTGAGTCCCAATTGACTCAATGACACCTAACAGTAAGTCTTCAATTCTGATGTCATACTCTTCTTCAATGAACAAAGATATTAAAACTCCTCATAATCCCTGTAACGTTATTTTATGTTATTTTTTTTAAAAAATGTAGCCACTGTAATGGGAATAAAATGGTAACTTGCAGTTTTGATTTGCATCTCAGTGATGGCTAATGACACCAACCACCTTTTCATGTTCTAAATGCAGCTACTGGAATGCCTGCTTGGGGAAATTAGCTATTCAAATCCTTTACATATTTTATGCTTGGGTTCTTCGTCTTTTAGTTGTAAAATTTTAATGTACATTTTGGTTATTAAATGTGTATTTAGATTCTTCTTGAAACTAAACAGTTTCTGAAGATAATTTCTCCATTGGCAGCTTTTCACTTTCTTGGTAGACCCTTTGGATGATCTAAGTTTTGAAGTTTGACGAGATTCCATTTATTTAGTCCTTTATTGTTTGTGCTCTTGTTGTTTTAGTAGATAAACCATCATAGAATTTTCCCAAGAATTTTAGTCTTTGCACGTTTAGGTCCTTCAGGTTCAACTTAGTTTTGTGTATAATGTGAGACTCAGATCCCATTTTTTTTCAGGATATGGGAATCCAATTTCCTGAGCAGTATTTATCAAGGGCATTTGTCCATGCTGCTGGAATGGATTTAACATCTTTGTAAAAGAAATCAGCTGACCATAGATGTGTGGTCTCTTTCTGGCCCTCAAGTCTATGCTATTGGTTTGTGTGTCTACTGTTGTATCAGTACCAGACTGGATGACAGAAAGCACACTGCATATTTAAAATAAGAAAGCATGAGTCCTATTTTGTTATTATAACACTGTTTTAGCTATTTGGGATCTCCTGTATTTCCATATAAAGTTAGGGCTGGGTTATCTATTTCTGTAAAGATGATGTTGGAATTTTGATAGGAAATCCATTGTATCTACAGATCACTTTGAATAATATATATATATATATTTATTTATTCAACAATATTGTCTTTTAAACTATAAACAGTTGGACATCTCTCCATTTATTTAAGGATTTTAAACTAGCTTTCAGCAATATTTTAGTTTTCATTGTTTCTTTCACATCCCTGGTTGTTGTTGTTGTTAAGTGCCGTCAAGTCCCTTGCGACTCATAGCGACGCTATGTACAACAGCCCTAAACTCTGTTTTGTCCTGTACCAATCTCACTGTCTCTGACACACTCATCCCGATTACCCCAGTCACTCAATCAATCCACCTCCCAGAGGGCCTTCCCCTCCTGTGCCTGCCCTCCACCCTCCCAAACATGATGCACTTCTCTCCTTACAACATGACCAAAGTATGTCAGACGAAGTCTCAGAATCCTTGCCTCCAAGGAGCAGCCTGGTTTAACCCTCTCCAAGATGCATCTGTTTTCTTAGCAGTCCATGGCACCCTCGAAACTCTTCTCCCACAACACAGCTCAAAGGCATCAATTCTCCTTCTATCCTCCGTAGTCACTGTTCAACTGACGCATAACGTGATTGCAAAGACCATGGCCTGTACCACAAGCACCTTAGTCTCCAGAGAGACACTGTTGCCCCTCAGTACTTTAGAGAGGTCCCTAAATGTATTTTCTTTTCTCAGATATTACTGTAGATTGAATTGCTTCCTTACTTTCCCTTTTAGATTTCTCATTGCTGGCATACAGGAACAAAATTTATTCTGTTGACCTGACAGCCTACAATTTGGTTCACTTCTACTGTGGTGGTGTTACGGGCCATCAAGCCGACTACAACTCATAGTGACCCTATGAACAATACTTCTTAACTTTGCCCTATCCTGAGCTAATCTTACCATGTGACACACCTGACCCCACTGCCACCATCACTGTGTCAGTCTATCTCATCCAAGGTCTTCCTCTCCTATGCTATCCCTCTACCCTTCCAAACATGATGTCTCTCTCCAAGGACTAGTCCCTCCCGGCCTTGTGCCCAAAGTATGTGAGACAGAGCTTCAAAATCATCACTTCCAAGGAGAAGCTTGGTTTCATCCTCTCTAGGAAAGACCTGTTTGTTCTCCTGGCAATCCAATACTTTTCTCTAACACCATAACTCAAAGGCATCAATTCTTTTGCTATCCATGATGTCCAGCTTTTGGATGCAACACAAACAACTGAGAAGACCATGGCCCGATCAGGTGCACCTTAGTCTCTAGACTGTCATCGTTGCTCTTTAGCACTCTAAAGAGGTCCACAGAGCAGCTGCTGTATTTAAACTATGTGCCTAGTATATTTCCCAATATGATTATCTTTTCTTTTCCTTGTCTTGTTTTCTGGTTAGAACTTGTATCACAGTACTAAGTAAAAGTGATGGGAGTAGGCATTTTTGTTTCATTCTCAGTATCAAGAGGAAAACAATCCCATCTTTCTTCACTGAGTAAGTGTTGGTTGTGGGCTTTTTATATATGGCCTGAATCCTATTCGGAAATTTCTGTTCTATTTTAGTCTTCTGTAGCATTTTCATCAAGGGTGTTTATTTTATAAAACACTTTCTCTGGAATACATCTTACTTGGTCATAATGTAGGACATTTTTTATTTGCTGTTTGAGTCCTTATTTTGTTTTTTAAATTTTATTATTACTTAATTGAAAATGTTTTCCAGTTTATATAAACATCTGGCTTGTTTTGTTTTCATCTTGAAATGGCACAAAAGCGACTGATCAGCCCCTATCTTGTTCTGCCTGATGAGAATGACCTTCTGCCTCTTCTTCCACAGATGTAAGTGGTCTCATGCCTCCTGTAGGCTCCATCTAGAAAGATCTCAGCGTTGTTTTGTGGCCAAATCGGGGGCGAGGGGGAGGCAAGCGGCATTAAAAAGCCACTCGGCTTGTAAAATTCTCTCATTCAATTTCCAGAGTCACGTCTACCACAAAGGCCACATTTTCCAACTACTAATCATTTGTCTGCAGTTTCCACCTTCTATTGGGAACTCGTTGGTATGACTGAACGTGTGATCAATTTATGACTTCAGAATCTGTTAAAAATAGTCAATTTCAATGTTTTCACTTTTTTGGCATTAGTGGTTGGCACACAGATGCGAACAAGTGTTATCACCAGTTCTTCCTTGTAGATGCACGGACGGCATCTGCTTTCTGCTGTGCATTTCAGGATAGAGCCTGGATTTCCCCCCCACCCCCACCCCTTCTCTCTCCTTTCTATTTTTACTTTATATTGATTTACATACAAAATTCATATACATTGTACATTATTCATGTACACTGTTTCACACCTTTCTATATCCACACTGTGCTTTAAACGATCACTCATATACATTTTTTTTTATAAAATTAATCACCATTGATGGCTGCTATCATGCTGTCTTTTCAGGTCCCTATTGGGTCCTTCCTAATCCCTTCAGCCTCCCTCCCTCCTCTGCTCACCAAACTCTTGCTCTTCTAGTGATTTTCTTCCCTCCCCATCTTCTGCCCATCCTTCTCCTTTTGGGCTTTTATCTACATCTTACTAGTTATCCTTCTATTTTTACGACAATGGTCTTATGCAGTATTTGTCCTTACGAGACTGAGTTTACTCAGCATAAAGCTTTCCGGATTCTCCCATGTTGTATAATAATTTACAAAATATGCTCCTTAGAGCTGTGAATGTACCATCATTTCTCAATCCATTCATTTGTTGTTGGACATTTGGGCTGTTTGCACTTTCTTGTTATCGTGAATATTGCTGCTATAAACATAAGTCTATAAATCTCCATCTGTATCTCAGTTCTATTTTCTTCGGGGTATATTCCCAGCAGTTCCATAGCTGAGTCATATGTTCAGCTTTTTGAGGAAATGCCAAAATGCCTTCTAGAGTGGTTGCACCATCTTATAATTCTACTAGCAATATATGAGAGTTTCTATCTCCCCACAGCTTCTCCAACATTTACTGCTTGCTGTCCTGTTAAACTTTGCTATTACCGGAGATGGTATGCCATTGTGGCTTTGATTTGCATCTCTCTCATTGCCGGTGATTATGAGCATTTCTTTATGTGTCTGTTTGCCATCCGAATGTTATCCTCCTTGAAAAGACTTTCCACGTCTTTGCCCATTTTGTGACTGGGTTATCAGTTTTTGGGAAGGCCCTGTAAGATTCTGCAAACTTCTGTTATGAAACCCTTCTATAAGATATCATTGCCAAATGTTATTTCCCAGTCAGCAGGTTTTCTTTTGACTCTCCTGGAAAAAGTTTTTGAAGCACACAGGGAGGGACTTAATTTTCAGAAGGCTTCATCTGTCGATTTATGTTCTTTTTGATGATGAATGTGATGCTTTCATCTTGCTCAAAGTCACAGACAAGGGACGAGAGGGAACGCAGATGTGTGGGTGGGTAAGCTGGCAGGAGAGAAAGCCAGCACTTCCATTTCTCACCAAAGAGTGGGGTTTTCACCCCTGCTGAAGCTGCTTCTTGTTAGCCGTCGCTGAATACGACTCACAGTGATCCTATAAGCAACAGATCTGGACCCTGTCCTATCTTACGCCATCATCATCTCTGACACACTTGAGTCCATTGCTGTGGTCACTGTGTCAATCATCTCACTGACGGTTTGCCTCTTTCACTGACCCTTCACTTTTTCAAGCGTGATGTCCTTCTCCAAGGAATAGCCTCTTCTCGGAACATGCCCAAAGCATGTGATTTTGGCCAGAAGCTTATAAGGATTCTTTATTTCCTATTTAATTTTTTTTATTCCACACTGATCCTTTATTCTCTTCTTATTCTAGAATTCAAGTTCCTCCGTGATCTGGTTTCAGGATGATCCCGTTGGAGATTAACATCATTTATCATCACGTGCCCACAGCACTGCTCTCTACCTTACTGAATATATGAAGACTGAGTCCACAGAGGAGTTTATAAAGTGCACAGAACAGTGCTTTCCAATAAATAGCATTAATGTTGTGTTAGCAAAAAGGAACACAGGAATTAAATACTAAATACTCATGTGCATGCCAAGGCTGGACAGTGGATGAGGAAGGCCAGAGGAGGCCTGAGCCTTTGCATACAATGTTGGCAAGGAATGCTGAGGGGACCACTGATTACCAAAGACCTGAGAGTCTGTCTTAGAAAGCGTGCAGCCAGAGTGCACGGCTGGAAGCAGGGGTGGTGAGACTGCACCTCATATCCTCTGGGCGTGGTGTCATGGGGGTCAGGGGGCTAGTACCGGGACGAGCACAACATGGTAAAGCTGAGAGTGAGTGAAGAAGAGGAAGAGGCTCCATGATGGACTGTCCCAGTGGCCATCACAATGAGCTCAAACACGGCACCGGCTGTGAGGACGGCGTGAATCAGGCAAGGGTCTGCTTTGTTGTGCTGGGTCACTACAGGCCAGAACCAGCTTGATGGCACCTTGCAACACAACAACAAATGTGCATCTGACTAATCCCCACACTGTGCTGTCACACTCACCTTCCTGCCTTTGTTCCTATCACCCTGGAGGCCCTTCTTACCCCCTATTCCCTGACCCCAGGCACTCCCACCCCTGGCTACAGACCACCCTGGAGTCTCAGAAGGTGCTTCGCCTGAATGAACTGATGACGGGGGCCACCCCGGAGCCTCCGGCCCTCTGGCTCTCTCTGGATTTGAGGTTATGGCTTCGCCTTCTCTTCTGTCTTTATAAAGTTTGATATGTTTTATTTTAGAGTTCTTGCCCATTTCTGAGCCAATTCTTTTCCTGAGATGAGAAGGATTGATTTGGTTCTTATTGCTAAGGTTAGAACCAAGGAGACAGAGGAGGCCCAAGTCCATTCATGATAAAACATGAACCACCAGAACCAGGAAGTAGACACCGACATGTGTGGAATTAGGGTTTTGGGCACAGAGTAACGTCAGAGAAGTGGACCAGAATAAGAACCACCTGCTAAACGAAATTCTCCATGACGACGCCTCATTGGCCCAGGTTGCAGCCCCAGATGAGGAAGCCATGAACAGGACTGATGCTCAGAGGCAAGCTTCCTCCTCCATTACCTCATTTCTTGGGAGGAAGGCCTGCCCCATCCTGTGGGCTGAACCTTTAAAAATAAATCTTAACTTTCCACCTTCACTTCTGCCTCCTTGCCTTTTTCTCGGGCTTCTGCTCTAACCAAGGCCTGGGCATTCATCTCAGCCTTGCACGCCAACGAAGCCTCGCTCTATTCTGGGATTATTCTGAGCAAGACCAGCACCGGCCCTTCTACGGCCCCCGTGCTGTACACTGAAGTCCGCACTCGCTCCCTCTCCGGCCACTGAAATTGCTGTCCACTGTGCTACTTTACAGTGGCTTGAGCACTGCCCCCTCCTCCAGTCCCTCTGGCCTAACTTAGTTCTGTAAGGTGGTGAGGGGAGCAAAGCAGGGCACCGACCCCGTGGTGACTCAGTTCAACATGAGGAGGGGAGGCCACACCTATCTCTCTGCCTGGCTCCCATGCCCTCTGGTACACACGGGCAACTGGGGCAGCTTCTCTGGCTCTGTGCGCAGGTACAGGTGGCCTCCCACAGGCTGCCAGCATCCATGGGGTTAATACTGCTGTATCCCCAAATGCCAACATGCACCTGCTGCCCCTGTTCACTCTCCTCTAACCCGATGCCCACCACTGGCTATCTGCTGAGGCAACAGGGCCTTCCTGGGCAGCAGAATCCAGGCCCCAAAGCAGATCCCAGCTCCCTCAGCTCCGGGCCCCAGCATGTAATAAAGAGACACCCTTTGGTGGGTATAGTATGTCCTACAGGATTGTGGGTCGGGATCGATTCGGTAGCAGCGAGTGCTTGTTTGGTTGATAATGAAGTCATGTATGTCTGAATGGTTCAATTCATTAGCTTTTCTCACTAGAAACATGGTAAATAACAAGGATCTGGACATGGAGAACAAACAACATAGAAGACGACCTGTACTTACTCTTCTCATGGGGGAAGGGGTGACATCAACTTCCATGGACTCGACTCTGTTAAATACACAGTCAAACATGCAAGTGAGCCTGGGACGGAGGTATCATCTGATGATGTCAACGTTAACACACTTACAGGCCACAAGGTGTTTTACAAGTGCTCTAAACTTTCTAGGCTCACAGGAGCTCTGCTGGCCTGGAGGTAAGAAGCTGTACTGTAATCCCAGAGGCATGCAGTTTGAATCCACCAGCTTCTCATAGGCAGAAGGACGGGCAATCTCCTCCCATGGGATTTACTGCCTCTGCTGGAGGGTCAGCTGTCAATCTGTTCTGACTCAACGACACACACCAACAAAAACAGGCTCCTAACTGGTCAGAGGTCCTGACATCATCAACCCAATCTCTTCCATCTCCCTTCTTGCTGAATTTTTCTGGCTGTTGTGTTTAAACAGACACACCCCTCCTGGACCTCACCTCTTCTCACTCGCGCCTCCATGACCTGTTCCTCACCCTCTTTTTAAGGACAGTCCAGCAGTCTCCGGTCTTTGTGCACATGGCCATCTCTCTTTTCTGAAGCCTGTCTCTCAACGCCTCTCACTCCTGCCTGACGCCGGCTGGACTAGAGCTCCCTGGGAGTGGGGACGTCTTATCTTTGCTAACACTTGCTGACGGGCGTTTTAACTTTTCCACAACCACTGTTCAGGAACTGCCCTTAATCAGGCCAAAGGGGAACAGAAAATCCTCATTTGGGAGCCTGGAGGGGGAAGAGGAGTGCTGGTGGCACTGTGGTTAGAGCCTGGCGGTTCACCCAGAGACTGTGGTTCCCAAGCCATGAGCTGCCTCTGTCAACACCACAGCCCTGGAAACCCTCCTCTGCCCCCCAGGGCTGCTGGCATCAACCGGATGGCGGCAACCTCTTCCTAGGGGGAGGAGAGAACCATCCACTCATTTACTGTGTCTGTCAGCTGCCTGATACGGTGCTGTCAAGAGCGTGAGTGGAGGGAACCAACTGAATCCCACCAGAATGGTCTTGAGCAATCCCTGTACCAGGATCTCTGGATACAACTTAAGGAAAATGGGAACACAGAAGAGAAAGGTACTGATTTTTGCGACTGACCAGTTCTGCCTGCTCTCCCTTCAGCCAGGACAAGGCTCCTAAGGAGGCCACCCCATGGTCTGGCTCTCTCGGTCCTGCCTACCTCTGTGGAGGACTTGCCGTCCACCGGCTCTCCCGTCACTGAAAGATCAGCTTTTGCTTGGCCAGGGGTTTACTGTTCAGAAAACTCCAAGAGGACCCCCGGGTCAGTCCACACTGGCCAAGTGAGTGGAGCACAGGGCGTCCCCCTCGTCCACCAGCTACAGCCACAGGGGTAGGGCATCTGGTTACCAGATGGAGCTCGGACTTCCTTCTGGACCCTGGGCATGGCAGGGAGGTGGTCTTCCTGGGCACACCCCCGGGGGTGGCTGGGACCTTCTCAAGCTTCCCCAAAGCTCCACGGCTCACACACACGTGGGCCTGTGCCTGCAATTTTCCTCCTGGGGCAGCAGCTCCAACACGCCTCTCCAGCCCTGCAAGGCTTGGTCCCTCCCGAGGCCCGGTCTCCTCCTCCTCCCCACCTCCTGCCCAGTCTGCACACCATCAGCTGGGACATCTGCTGCAAAGGGAAGTGGCCCCTCGGTCCGGTCCGGAGTGCCCACTTCCTGACTGGACTGTTAGATGTCCAAGAGTGAGTTACACAGGACCAGAGGATTAGGAGAGGCTGCGGAATGGGAAGAGACATCTCAGTGTGTCCTAAGAAGACCCCGCATGCCTTACAAATACTGACGGAGCGGCTTTCACGAGCGCAGGGCGAGACGTGTACGTACCTTTCTGAGGACGACGCACTGGGTGGGAAGAGGTGATGTCCACTGGGCTGTGCTAAGGGTGCTGTGATGAAACAATCTTAACGTGAGCGCTTTACTGAAAGACCCTCCTCGTGCGTTTTTCTCGTCTCCCCTTTCGGACATTCGTTTACTTACTCGACATGGAGCTTCTGACTGTGTTGAAAGCTGTCTGCTGTGATGATCTCATACTAAACAGACAGGGAAAAGTGAGCGGGTGAAGTCATCACCACTGAGTTGTGACAAATTCATCTCAACTAAAGTGTAAGAAGTACATGGCAAGGGCCCATGTTTCCATCAGGCTGGCCACTGCGGGTGCACTGGCGGTTCTTGGACTGTCCTGCCTGCCCCCATCCCAGGGAGGGCACACCCAGGACCACTATGACCTCGCAGCTTTTCTCCACTGTAGGACGTGCCTCTGGGTCCCTGGATCCTTAGAGAATGTGTAACGCACTAGACGGGGACTTCTGGAAACTCACATGCTGAGAAGTGTTCAACAGAAACCCCAGCATGTTTAACATGAAGAGGTGTGCATCAGGACCGTGTCCATTCTCCACACCTCTTAGGTATACACGCTAAGCAAACTACCAGAGAATCTAGGCCATTAGTGCCTAGCAGGCACAGATTCTAATACATGTAGAGAACCACCGTGAACCAAACTACAGCACGTGACTGAGCCCAGTGTCGGAGACGGTCACTCAGATGCGCTGGGTGAAAGGTACAGAGCCACCAACCGGACAAGAGGGGAGAGCTCTCCATTATTAGACTTTCCAGGGGTTGAAAAAGCAATAGTTTTTGCTACCATTTTTTGGGGCATTCTTGGCACTTTTGGTACTTCTTTCTGAAACGCACCATGTGCCAACGGTGGGCCTTTAGATAGACTGAGCAGTGTAGAGAGATGCACTACATTTCCTGGCAGGAGCGAGGCCTCAGGCGGCAGGCCAGCCAGACCCACGGGTGCCAGCTGAGTCTGCCTGGCGGCCGGTCTCTCCCAGGGGCAGCTCAAGGGCTCTCCTGCGGCCCCGGCCAGACACTTTCCTGTTGCCTCAGAAATCACAGACGAATCCACCCTCCAGGAGAGCAATTCACCTGCTTCTCTCCCACAAAAACTTCTGCTTCAACAGAAGTTCCTAGGAAATGAAGGTGGTCTTTTCTCTGTCCGCGGGGCTAGGATTACAGGTGGCAGCAGCTGCGCTCATCTCTGTTTGGCCCCTGCCCACTGCTCCCAGGCCTGTGCGCCTGTCATGATGGGGACGTCTTTTGGACTGACTGGTTCTCGCTTGTTCTGGGAGCGGGGCGGTCAGAGACGTGGACGGGCGCTGTGCAGCACGCTCTGGTGTGGGGCAGGACCTTACCTCTGCAGCTGCTCTATCCGCAGCATTGTCTTCTGGAGGGACTCTTCCAGCTTAGAGATCTAAACACAAACAGTGCGGTCAGCCTTCAGGACAGACTGTGTCAGGTTCAAAGACGACTTTGAGAAATTGATGTTGATCCTGCGAGCTTCCTGAACCAATAATTAGAATGCAGGAGCTGTCCTCACACTGCTAAGTCATCAGTAAGTGAGCTTTCAATCCAGATCACCCAGGACCGAGGACTGTGGCCTTTGCGAGTCACACTGAAGCCAAGGTAAGTCAACCCCAAAGCCCAGCAGAAGCGTCTGGACCCACGGCTCACAGCTCAGCACAGCAGCACAGATATGAGCAGCAAACCAACGGACCTCAGCCCTGGACAGGGTCGTAGAGGAATTTATGCCAAAATGTGCCTTATCTTTTCAAAAGCACATCTTTCAAATAATAGGCTGTTATTCCATCGGGCAAGGTCCTGGCTCTCCCACTGTATTATGGGAAAAGAGACGAATTTAGGACCTGCAGCTGGCCTGGAGAGCGGGGCAAAGAGCACTGCAGAGGGAAGCTGGACTAATGGGGGCAACAGAACACAAGGACAGAGTAGGAGCCTCTTCCAGCAACCCTGAGACGCAGACCACTTCATTTACACCCGTCCCCTGACACCCAGGCCAGAGTGGTCCCAGGACACACAAGGAGGGGCCTGGGAGAAGGCAGAGGCTCCTGCACTGAGCATGCCTGGCCCCAGGGCTGAGGGCAGCAGAGTTCCCAAACACCTGGGACACCTGACAAGAGGCAGCAGCAGGGCCTTAGAGACAGAAAGTTCCAGATTCTAGAAAGAGAATCCAGGACTCTGAGGCTTCAATCAGGCAGGCGGGACCAGAGTGAGGTGTCTCCAGCAGGAAGCCTGTCCCCATAACTGAAGGCAGACCTCACAGGGAGCAGGCCTCCCCCAAGGAGCAGGGGGCATCAGATAACACGTGTGGTATTTACATCAAAAGGTCAAAAGGTTCAGGAGGCAACGAATCAATGGATTTACCTTTTCTCTGTAAAAGGCTAACAATCTCTTCCTGTGTTTTTCTTGAAACTCTGAAATCTGAGCACAGAACACATTTTAGTGGTTGACATTGGCGCATGGTCTCAGGGTAGAACATTCTGTTAACTTCCCCCCACTTCACAGGTATTTCCACAAAACACACTTGTTCCACACCCCACCCCCAGCGGGTGGTCTATTGGGGTGGGGGCTGCAATCCAGTCATATTACTGCTCCTGGCTCAGAGCAGAGGCTCCCGATGTCCCGAGACAGGGCCAGGACACAGGGCGTACAGTGGTCAAGCCTAGTGTGCTGCCCACCAAACAGAGTGACAGTCAGTAAACACTTCCAAGACCAACACGTGGACCAGGAAGAGGGTGCTGGGTGGGCAGGGCTACAGAACAAGGCCCAGCGAGTCTGGGAGAGTCTACAAATTCTGAGAACGTGGGGGTGTGGTCTGAACTCTCAGACCCAGCTCCACCAGAAAGAGGACCAGACTAGGACTCTCGTGGACAATGCTAACTCAGTGTGCTACTTCCCTGCACATCCTCATCTGAACTGGGTTTCCGAGAAAAGCTATGTAAATCAGAAAATAGACATATAGGATATTCCCCCTCCCATCACTACTACCACTGTCAAAGCTACCACTACCACCACCTCCACTGCCCCCA